GCGAATGGTAGGGGAGAGGGTGGACATGGGACGCACCCACAGCGGAGGGGAGGGAAAAACCAGATGACCGAAGTGACCGATAGCGTGTTCACCTACCTGCATAGAGTAAGGTAAATACCGGTAGAGGACCTATGTTCTCCCATCCTGGGCTTGGGCTGAGTACATACTGGTTACCGTGGGAGGGACAGCACGCAGCAGGCGGTGTTCGGCTATTAGCCAATGCCTACTCACTGCGAACTCGCAGAGAAGTCGGGAAAGCCAGGTGGGAATATCAGGTGGGGGTGGAAGAGAATGTTCAATACTCGAGTATTTTCTGGTATGCAGGAACCCACGGTGGGCTACTGTGCGCAATAACAGGGCGTGGGTCGGGGTATCGAAGCCATCGTTCTCCATTCCAGAGGTTTCTGGTAATCTACCTTTGCTATGGGGAGGTCTTGTTCCCCTCGGTTAGGGAGCCAACCAAAACCTATGCAAGTACCATTGTGGCGGAAGAAAGAAAAATTTGGATAGGCCCAAGGGCCGAGGATCATACAGAGGTGAGCGGTTCATCATACCGGTAGGCCCTGCAGGTGCATTTCTTGTCATTTGGGAAATCTGGCGATGGGATAAGCGCGCAATAATACCCGACGATGCTTCCACAATCCGGCTATGGGTATGGAGAGAGGAAAACAGAGGGACTCCGGAGCCGCACAAAGTTCATTGGCCGCTAAACAGCCGATCACCCTTCTGCGGCCCCCTATCCTAGGAGCCAATTTCAATACCGGTCCTTGGACAACAGCGGTATGGAGGTTTTGCGGTTGACTTCCGGGGTCGAATGGCGTGCTCGACGGAAATGGCACCTGTGTGGGGGGTTTGTCTGTGACCTCCCGATATACGGTAGGATCAAGTGTAGAAAGTTATCTGGCAACGATGACGTGTAACACGTCCCTGGCGGGAGGGGAGCAAGAAGCCAGACCCAATTGAGACGGGAAAGGAACGTTGTCTAAACGCCTGTCGATGTGGGGTGTTGTTCCTCCACCAATAGGGGTGGCGGTGAGGTGTTGATCAACTTCTCCTTTCCGCTGCACAAGAGGAAGAGACACAGCCTGCCTTTATGCGCAAAGGGTGTACAAGGACAGGAATTGAGCCTGCAGTTGAGAGGGGGGTGTGCGCAAAATTTTCAAGGCCAGGGTTAATGTCTCATCTCATTTAACAATTTGGAAATCAAAGCTCTTGGGAAGTGGATGGGCTTAACTACCGTGCCGGTACTACGTAGTACTCAGGTACCGTATTGGCGGTGGCTACCAAATGTTCCAGGAGCGGCATGCTGGTACGGTACTCGTACAGCCGACCCTGCTATAACATCGCCTAATTGAATTGTATGTGAAATGGCCCAAGTGGTACAACCGAGTCGTTTACAGTAGGGTGGTTCCGACTAATATAGTCTACTAGACTAGTATGATACAGGTACGGTATCATACTGATCCCAACACGACCCCGTTTCGTCAAAACACGCGGGGGTTGTTTAGGCTTACTGCCCGTCTATAATCACGTGGACTGTACGAGTACTAGTACTCGTGCTGTACTTGTGTGGTAGTTCTGCTTATGACGTCGGCAAAAGAATTTTCATTCAGCTCAGCACTATGTTTTTACCAAGTATGCTCACCAGAAACCCGAATGGAGCTTGATGATCATGAAGGTTGACCGGTTGAGGGCAGTTTTCCCATTGGGAGACAGATTTGGCAAGGCGGCGCTAGCGATGACAAAATAATGGGCTATGACGCTCGCGTGTGTCCATGGAAATCATCTTGGATGGGTCGGTTCGTTTCGGAGGGCTTCCCGATTTTTACGCACACAGCCGAGTAAAATCCCCTTGGCATGCTGCAACGTGGGTTAGGGTCAAATACTAACGCACGATTTACGGCGCTACCGCGCTCTCTCTCTCTCCTAGTATCAAATTTAGACTGGGTGAGCCCTCAGCGAGGCGCGGCATGGCTTGGCTACCTACTCTCGTTGACCCCGGGGATCCTTTACTGCTAAATATCGCCGCGCCTCACTGAGGGTGTCGCCTCGCTGAGGGCTCACCCGGTCTACCACGGGTAAGCTATTTTGTACCTCAGACCAAGTATGCCTGAGCGTAACACTACCGCGGCTTACCTCTTAAGCGCGACGTGAACACCGGCCCGGACTCGGTCTATTTAAAATAGGGAGTTGCAGTAAGCAAATTGCACTTACTTGCCTCAAAACCCATGCAAGGGAAGAAATTTGACCCGCACTAAAAATGGTAGCATGGGGGCAGGTAATAGTTGACTTGCAGTTGTGTCGACCCCGACTAGGCATCCAGCTGCCTTCCCCAGGGCAAGCGCTGGTGTTTGGGAGGCCCTCATGGGGAACTTAAAAAAAATACCTCGCTGTCCAAAGAAACCCTCTATAACTAGTTGCTGTCTTCCACCAGATCTTTGAATCCGCAGTCGGAAAGCACAACTCAAAAGAATCTGAAGCTTCAGGGCCCACACACCTCAAAAGCGAACCCCAGCCTTTATTCATCTTTTATTCCAAGGAAATAGCGAGCTATCTTACCCGCACCTTTACACACACACCCTAGTTCTACAGCATCTCCGAGACGGGAAATGGCAGAGCTCATCGCCTTGGCTGCCAGTGTCGGGACCCTCATTGATCTCGGCGCGAAGACTTGCGCTCTTTGTAATTACTACTGCAATGTAGTCAAAGAGTATCGGCAAGATTTCAAGAAACTGCAAGATGAGATCAACGATATTGGGCAACAACTGGAGAAGATAAAAGGCCTTGCTGAACAAGGCGATCAGAACAACCCACAATACCCTGAGCTTCTTCAATGGACAAAAAATGAAAGTTTGGAGGATTATCAGATAGCTCTAGAGGAGCTGATGAAGAAGTTAGATGTTCCGGGATGGAGAAAATACTGGAGGAAATATCTTTGGCCTCTCCGCAAACCCAAAATGGACCGTTACCTAGACTTGATTCAAGATCAGAGATCGAAACTTCTTTTGCTACTGGCCACAACCACAACGTAGGTTATCCATTCTTTGACCCACTGATAATCTAGCCTCTCCGCTTCCTTTTTATTTTGGTAGAAAGGCTAACCAGTTTCTTAGGGAGAATACAACTAAGGTGTTGCGCAGATTAGATGGTACTCTACCACGTTACCCCTAACCCTGCCAATGATGTTCTTTACTAATATCAGATATTCGTAAAATCTCAGAGAATAAATACCAGGAAGTACAGAGATGGCTTAACATCGTTGATCCGGCCTCTGATTATTCATCTGCACTTGCAGTTCGTGGGCCCGGTACTGGAAATTGGCTGCTCAAGGGACAAGACTACATGGATTGGAAGGAAGGTAGTGGAGGTGTTCTCTGGCTTCATGGTATACGTAAGTCTACAGACAGCAGACAAGTGAAATCTTGTGATTCAAAGAGTTTCATTAACATTTGTGTCTTATAGCCGGATGTGGCAAAAGTGTCCTAAGGTACAAACTTAACCCGGTATTCAGAGGTGAATAATGATTTCCTGTTTGCTGACCCCCTCTTTAGCGCTACCGCCATTGAAGATGTCCAAAATCTATGCCACACGAAGGATGATTATGCAATAGCCTATTTCTACTTCACGTTCAGCGACTCTGAGAAGCAGGAATTGCACACTATGCTTCTATCCCTGATTGGCCAACTTTCGAAACGCCCTTCAGATCGGGTTATGCCAGGCGGGGTTGAAGACCTGTACAATAGCACCAAGGCAATTGGAAAGTCGGCAGATACCAAATCTCTGAAAGATCTATTGTCACAGATTATCAAGAGTTTTGGGAAGACGTTTATCATTCTCGATGCCTTGGATGAATTCCCCAAGGACACACGCGAGCATCTCCTAACCTGGATCGGCGAGCTTACGGTTGATCATAGTCCGGGATCACTTTCCATTCTCGTCACTAGCCGTCCTGAGGCTGACATAGCGGAATCCCTGAAACCACGTACTGATTTTTCAATATCATTACAATCTAAAACCATCGATCTGGATATCCAGTCATATGTACGGAACTTTCTAGAAAGTAAGCCTGGGTTGAAGAGTTTTTCCGAAGATATTAAGAACCAGATAGAGGACACGCTTGTCACTCGCTCACAGGGAATGTATGTTATACTCCACTTTTGAATTTTTAACTTACGCTAATACAAGGCGGGATCTGTGAAGGTTCCGCTGGGTGGCTTGCCTATTGCGAATCATACAAGAATGCATAACACCAGAAGACGCGATAGAATCGTTAAAGCAACTGCCGGAGGATTTAGACTCTGTCTACTTGAGGATCTTCAATACCATTCCCGAGAAGCAGAAGGAATATATTCGGCGAGCAATGAATTGGCTTGCATTTTCGGCAGTTCCATTGACATTAGGCCAGCTTGCGGAGGCTATTGTTATCGAATACGACGCCAACATATATGTCCCGGACTCGAAGACACCTCCCGACCAGAGTTCCCTCATGAGCATTTGCCCAAGCCTTATTTCATTCGAAGATGCCAGGACCGGGGAATCCTCCATCCAGGAAGACCGCCGATTACGACTAGCACATTTCTCAGTAAAGGAATATTTGGTCTCCAACCGGACAGTTCAGGGCCCCAGTGCCTTCTATCACATCTCGGAGGAGAAGGCCAATTTACTGATGGGGCATGCTTGCCTTAGTCGGATACTGCAACACAGTGCACAAGGTACTATAGGCGGGAACCAAGCAGAAGAAACATCATTTCTCTACCACAGTGCTCGTTATTGGTTCGTGTATACCAGATCTATTGCGGATACGGCACCCATGCCACTCTCCGACGCGGCGGTGAAGGTCCTCGAGCTTGGCAAGGTGTGGCTAGATATATATAACCCTGACGACACTTACCGGAATCGCACCCGGGGCTCCGGGATTTACCCACCAGCTATCTACTATTCCTCCTTGCTAAATCTAGTGACGGCATGTGAATTGCTAGTCAAGAGAAAAGCGGATACAGTGAACGTGTATGAACAGGGTTGCAGATATGGCAATGCACTACAAGCAGCAGCAGCGGAAGGAAACGAATCGGTTGTGCGGTTTCTCCTCGAGCACAGGGCCGAAGTGAATGCTCAGGGTGGCAAGTATGGCAATGCACTACAAGCCGCTGCATATCAGGGAAGCGAATCGGTTGTGCAGCTTCTCCTCGAGCGTGGGGCAGACGTGAATGCTCAGGGTGGCAAGTATGGCGATGCACGGAAAGCAGCTCTGTATCGCGGGAACTGGTCAGTGGTACGGATTCTTGACGAGGGTGTGGCGGGGGCGGGTCGACGGATTGGCAATAGCGGTGCACAAGCAGGTATAGTAAAAGACAGCGTGAGAAAATCGGTTGGACCGATTCTCCGCAAGAGTTGGGCGCCGGTGTATGCTGGGTTTGGCAACAGCAATGCACATTGTGGTACAACGGAAGACAGTAACAACTCGGTTGTAGCGACTCTCCCCGAGCGTGGGGCGCCGGTGTATGCTGGGTTTGGCAACAACAATGCGCTTAGGGCTCGAGCATAAGCTTGTAGAAATCTGGTCTGGTTGGTCAAAATTAGGTGTGTGCAACGCGAATCATGTAGCTGAATAGCCCAAGTGCGCTAATTGTTGGTGAAGGGGAAAAGTCTGTACAACTCTTGGCCCAGTGGCTGGAGCGTACACCGTTCTCCAAGTGGGCGAGAAGACCTTTGAACCAACCCGAGGGGTTCTACGGACTTACCCTTCACCCCCGCTACATTGTGGTGCAACGGAAGACAGCTTGAGCGAATTGGCTGTGTAGCCTTTCCTCCAGCATGGGGCATAGGTGAATGCGCAGGGTGGCTATTTTGGCGGTGCGCTACGGTACAAGCAGCTAAAGCGTTTGGTCATGAATCGGCTGAGCAGCCTCTCCTCAGACAAGCGGGGGATCCCAACACTGGAATTTCGGTGGATGATACAAGCAGCACAACCAGCTAGGAGATTTCTAATTTTTCGACCACTCGAATGTTTCATTCCCGGGGCGGCCGGCAATTCTTGGGGTTGCGCCTTTCCTATCACATATTAGTTTGCACCCTCTCCTACCACCATTTCATATTAGTACAACAAAAACAGCAAAAACTAGCTCCCTCCCCCGAACGCCGCATGCTCAGCGGTCCGCCAGCCTGCCACTGTGCTCTATCGCTCACCCCGAAAAAATAACTACCCACTTCCTAAATTGTATCTAGCTGTCTGCTACGAAATGCCTTACAAGGCTTCCACGACATCCTGCAAAATCGCAAACTACTCCACGATCGGTTCACTTGACTATACAAACCCGGATCTACAACTCTCTTTATGCATCTGGACTATCTAATACCTCTAATGCTCGATCTCATTTTCATGCATCCAGTCCCACACCCCAAACACAACCCTCCTCGTTTCAAATTACACCAGTCTTCGGCACCTACCGAATATCCTAATTTAACTCACCGGGAGAATTGACTCTTGTTTCACCCTATCCCTCTCTTGTTATTATATGCCTTTGGAACAAAATTTGTATACATCCCGGACGCACGCTGTGGGGCTTTTGGACAAATCCATACTTACCATCAATAGTTGAATCTGCCCGGAGACCCCAAGATAAGGAATAACTTGAAGAGTATCATTCTGGAGGCGGCAGGAAGTGACGAAGGGAGTTTTGAAGAGGGGGGGAGTGTCATGCTTGTTTACCGATTTACTTATTCGCTAGTTGGTTTGGTTTCGGTGTATGCTATAGTCTGGCTTCAGAGCTCCCCTTCCTTTCTCCCTTTCCCTTTATCTCTTTCTCTCTCTCCCCTCCTTTTTTTTCCGAGCCATAAGGCCACGGTTGTGGGCTCGCAGAGGTCTGTTATGAAGGAAAATTTTTCTTCTTTCCCGGTGGATGGACCCTCTATTGTCTTATTTTCTCTACTCTTCGTTTTCCTTGTCTTCCGCGTGTATCACACTACCGACACCCAATCAATACATTAGTCATTAGGACTAGGCCCAAGAGTATGACAGTACATAGGATTTTCCATCGAGGTACGAAGCTTCCTTCGTATCAAGTTTGGTGGCGTGTGTGGATTGACCCGGGGAAAGTCTAGCAGTTGGTTAACCAAGGTTCACAATGAGTGGACCCGACCCGACGCAAGGAGGACAAAGGTTTGCCCCGGTGAGACTCAGCCCAATAAACCACCACCCGGGTTAACTAGGGGGCCTATTGGGCCCCCATGCGATTCAAACTGAGGGAGATATGGGGGGTTAAAGAGAGTTGGGTGGAGCATCTCCCGTTATTTTGCCCCCCCCCAGTTAATACGAGAGCAAGGAGGATCAACGGCACTAGATAGGTAAATCGAGCATGAGTACAATAAGTAATCTGACTATTTTCCTGCATACATTCTAACCGTAGAACTCGCCCACAACCTCCTCCTTTAGCTCCCCGCAGTAATTCAATAGTCTTGAATTGGGTATGGGGCCTGCTTCATATGCCCTGTGGATCTTGGGCAACACTAGCTGATGTCTCAGCCGAGTGGTCAATGCGGAGGAAAGCGGTTATGGTGTGCGGTGGCTGGGCCTTCCAAGGGAGGATGTCCTCGTGAGGCTGATGCCACTTCTTCCTTACTTGGGGCGCGAAATCGGTGTTGCTTGGGTTGGGCAGGGGCTGGGCACAACCACCCCGGTAGCCTCCCCCCAAACTTGGTGATGCGTCCCCGGGGGGATTGCTGTTGCAACGGGCGCGATTACGTATACCTAAGTGAATAAAAATATTTATTCTCTGGTGGATGAGAGCTGAATGAAATGATAACTTAGGGCGTTTTTTTCTCCGTAGTGCCACATAAGCTTCCACGCCAAAACCAGCCTTGGAATGTCACTCATTATGAATATTTCCAATAAACCTCTTACTCTAAGTCCACCTAGTGGAGTGCCTCCCTCCTAGCCTCCCCCCCTATCAAACCAGCCAGCCGTAGACTTGAATTCCTCTTCCGGTCCTCGGTATATTCACTCTAGTCCTCCATCGGCCCTATTCCTTATTTCCAGGCTCAAAAGAGTCCGACGGACAAAAGTTCAACAAACTCCCTTCATTCCCGACCACCGATCTAGCATATAACTAGCTAAACTTCCTCAGTACCAGCTCCCACAAACGGAAAAAACCCCAATAAATTACCGCAAAAGTTCCCGCAGCCACAATCAGCCACAATCTTATCCCATATTAATGCTGTTCCCCATCTTGCAGCCTGACAATCAGATAAAACAACAAGTATCCAAATCACCTATATCTAAGCGACCGCAAAGCGCTCATAAGAACGAGATATCCCGGGGATTGCAGCTTTCAACTCCATTATCACCAGCCTCCTATAAAAAGCCACCACACGTCGAATGGAACTTCGTCGGGCAACCACCCGGAATAATCGGCAAGTGTTCCCCATCATGGCTCCACTCAGAATACGACCGTCCGCACAAACGATTTATCCCATCTAAAGCATGGTGGCGCGACCATTTCACAACCAAACGTATTCATACTAGTACGTCCTGAGCATAATAACCCCATGTATCCCGGCATTCTAACCAGATCGCTCCTCCTAGCTATCTGTACAGTACAAAAGGTATCCCTGCAGCACCCTAGTGATACTCCACCAGCGCCTAACCACCGAAATATATCTCCGGTTCTCGTAATTCCCTTTATCGTACATCCCCTTTACCCTTCCAGCGTAAGAATCAACACCCCCGTAAGTCCACCGTAATTGCCACACCGCTCCCCGGATGATCGATAGTTACGCACCATGGACAGGCTGACAGGCCTAGCCGGTGGCGCATACCCAGCCCCGGTCAACCGTGGCCGTCCCATCAAACAAATTTTGTGTGGGATGATTTCAACATAGTCCAATGTGCCACGCCTTATGCGCCGTTTCTTCCGTTCCACCCCCCCAGACAGGTTCGGGGAACCTAGGCAGTTCCCTAAGTACTCCACACACTGAGTAGGACGGAAGCCCTACTCCTATCATCGCAGGCGACCGTGCGAGTCTTCGGAACCCCCCAAAACCTGGTGGGGGATCTGCTTTTGTATCTCTCCTTTGTTGGTGGCGACCCTAGTTTTCCGAAGCAATATAAAGAAGGGTGGAAATATTATATCTAAAAAACGAATGAGGGGTACGCCTTTAAACACCTCTTCAACTTGCCACTTGGCCCTTGTCTTTCCGTATCCCAGCTTCTCACCCGATGAGCCCCAGTAGGCAGCATAGCATATTATGGTGTTAATTGGACTTGTCTACATTGCCATTTGACACTACAGCCTACTTTGCGAGCTCTCCTCGCGTTCTTATCCGGAACGGGCTTAACGAGCTTATCGGGTTAACTAGAGACATTTTTTGTTGCGCTTGGTCAAACCTCCGCCGGGCCGGCTCGCTTTCCACCCATGTTGACCCGTTTGCGGGCTCAGCCAGAGTGCACATGCCGGGTAATCTAGTAGCCACATGACCAAACTGGAATGTCGTCAAAAAACTATGGTACAAATCAACGCGTGGATGATCCTCAGCCGCCGGAGAATATAAGATAGAAGCCGTTTTTGCTGCTCTCCATGTTCCCGGTTTCCCCCGCCGTCTTCTGGTGCCCGCACAGAACTGTTTCTCATCCGACCAGTCCTTGGACCTCCTCAATGATGGCCACCCCCGGGTTTCTGGAACCGGAACAAACAATGTTCTACTGTCCGGCCTGGTATAGAGCCCTTGGAAGTTTATCCCGGTGCTCAAGTTTGGAAAACTAGGACTGCCCTCTTGGGCGGGTATCATGGGGATCATCTACTCTCCCCAAATTTTTATGCCGGTATTATGGTTCTCCATGCTTCCCTTTGGGATATCCCCTCTTTACGAGCAGCCGGTAACCGCGCTTCGGTGCCTATTCGATCTTGGATTGCAGCTTCGGCGTATACGCTGGTACAAATTTCTCAAATGAAATATAATCGTGCCAAGGTTGTGACTAAGCGTCACAACCCCTGGTTGCTCGCTCG